TTATTTTTATTTTTATTTTTTTTACATTTTATTTATTATTTAAATAAATAATAATAATAATTTATTATAATAATTTATTATAATAATTATTATTTATTTATATTACCCAGTTGTCACAGGCTAGGATATTTGTATACATTTTATGAAATTAATTAAAAAAATATATATAATAATAAATTACATGGTCAAACCAGGAGTCTTAAATAATACTTTACTTGATCTGTACTGCAATTAATCTATAGCTTCAAGTAGGGTACATTTAAAGAAAATCAGGGAAATCATGTAGTATTGCATTTTCTATTTGTGAATACTGTTACTTTGGAAGTTTAAATTGTGACCAGTAAGATTATATCTGCCTTTTTTCTCTAATATTTCTGTAGACATCAGCAGCTCTCTAGGATTTTGACGCATTTCAGTCAACGACCAAAAGATCTGATTCCTAAGGACTCATATGGTATCATTGTTTCTTTTCCTTTGGATTTGTTGTATAATGATATTCATCAGCTGTAATGCTTATTTGTGTAATGGTCTGTTCTGCAGGCATGTACTTTTGGATGCTGCTGCTGCCGTCTCTCAGTGGGGCTGGGGTTCTCATTATAGCTGCAGCTCTTGGTCAATATGGGGCTATCTTCTCTGCAGTGCTTTTCCCTTGTATGGCAAAAGTCATTCTTTCTCAATATCATAGACTGAGCAGCTTTCAAAGGTTAGAGGGTTGTGATTGGAAATTGCATTGCTTATAACTAATAATATATAGGATGATGATTGCATAATGACTTTTTTTACTCTTTTTAAATTTGTACTTTAGGTTACCAAACCCTGTGTACTTGGGAACACTGACCGCGGGTGTAATTCATTCCACAGCTTGCTTTCTCTATAAATTTTTACCTAATATCCTTTGCAAATAGCTTATGTCAATCAACCTCTTTCAAAAGTTGAAATCTTTTGGTTGTTTTGTCAATTATTCCTTGACAGCTCACGTTTTTGGCCAGCTTATACCCTCTTCAATTTTTCACTTGTCCATTTTTGTGTGTTCGTTGGACTTTTTTGGAAAGTTCTAAATCAGAATCCAGGACAACTCAAAGAAGCTGACACTGATTCCCAGTTTTCCAGCATAGGAGACTTAATAGAAGCCGGAAAGAGACCGGACAGATTCTGTATTTACTGTGAGGTGAGCACTGGGTCTGAATCTCTTTTCTGACTAACATTTCAAATTTACTTGATCAAAATGGTTTTCTTTGGAGGGTTGTAACTATTTTTGGATGGTTAAATCAGATTGAATTATTTAATTAATATATATTTTAATATTGCTGTTTGTTGTTTCAAATAATAATTAAATCAATATTTTTAGTTAATAAAAATTATGTTTTATAATAAATAAAAACAAAAAAAATATTTTAAATAATAATCAGAGCTGGATCCTAATCTGTTTGATAATAATAATATATTTTCTAATAATATAAATTATAAAATATAATTATTTTAAATAATTATAATAATCAGTACTGGATCTTAAACTGTTTGCTGACATATTTTGAGATTGGAAAATTGAGATTTAAGAAGTTAATTTATTCACAGCATTAAATATGTGTATGTTTGAACCAATCATTTTGGATAGTTAAATCCCCACGTACAAATATTATATATTTTTAAAATGTATTATTATTATTATTATCAAAATTCAAATTTCAAAAGTGCACAAGCTATTTTCTTTCAGTTGATCCAAGTGGACAACTGTAAACACTGCCGTTTGTGTGACATGTGCATCCAAGACTACGACCACCACTGCCTCTTCCTCAATCAATGTGTGGGACGGGACAACCACCGCATCTTCATCCTCTTCATCATGTCTATGGTAATGGCTCACCTCATCTTCATCCTCAGTGCCGTGTACTACCTCTGCCTGAAACTCTCAGGCTTGCAGATGTCTGACTGGGGCTCAGTGGCGGGAAGAGAGGCCTCGGTCCTCCTGCTGACTCTGTTCAATATCTTCTCTCTGATCTGGGTGGGATGGTTGCTAGTTGAGCAGCTTGATGCCATTTCCATGGGAACCACCACCTATTTTAGGCGGTATGACCACAAAGGGCCTTCTAAAAGACAACGGCTGGGAACAATCCTCACTTTTCTGCTTGAAGGGAGAAGACAGGAGCACAGTCAGTCTTTCAGTATATAGAGACGTTTTGAAATTCCAAGCAACATCACAGTTTAGTCTCTTATTGTTGTTTATAAAGGCTGGAATATATAACTTCTGTTACATACTTCACAGTCCCGTAGTGTATGATGGGCTCAGATTCAGATTTTCTAGCTTCAGACTACAATTTTATCCATTCAAAGGATATCAAACATGATTGATATTTTGTGCTGATTTTAGACCATACATTGTTTTCATTTCTCATGCATCTCCTAGCAATGAGGTGCATGTTTCTGCGAGAGTTAGTTTTTTTTTAAGTCAATGCGATCCTTAGTCGTTTAGTGTGTGATGCCCAGTTTTGTTTTGTTTTTTAACCATTTACAATGTCAGCAAGTGTGTAATGCATATTGTGTTAAAAACTGTTCAGAATCTAAAAATTGTATAGTGCATTCCAGCCTTAATTTTCAGGGAAGATTGTTAATTTGAGACTCCCATAGTTTGTAAAAATAAACAAAAACAAAAATTACATTACCTAAATTATAAATCTTCGTAATAGTGCTTTACATAAACAAAGGTCACTGCTGCCTTGCCTTGCCGTAACTGTATCTGTATTTATTTTTTATAAGAAACATTTTAAATAAATGTCTTTTAGTGTAAATTTATAGTTTGATTTTTCATTTAATATTTTGAAGTAAAAAATAAATCTGTACATGATGTTTTTGCAAAAACAACGCACTGAAAATTGATGTTGTGATTTATTAGCATATTATATTGGGATAAAGTATTTTATTTTGTTATTCTACAAAATAAAGATTGGAACATTTGTTTTGTAACATCAATTTGAGCATTAGGATTGTGAAGCCTCTCACTCTGCATTCCCAGCCCTGCTTTTAAGATGGTTGTCCATCATTAATCATCTGCGAGGCCTGTATAGTCTGCTGCTAATTTTCCATTGATTTTGCTGCAGTAATACCATGCAGGGGGGAATCTGCAGACCTATATCATTGGTCTAAGTGACATGGACTAACCCAACTTTTGGGTTAAAAATTTAATGTAAAAATTTAACCCAACGGTTGGGTTAGTCCATATTTGACCCAAAGTTGAGATGAAACAACCCAGCATTTTTTAGAGTGCAGTATTAAGTGTAGGAAAACATCCAACTAAGGCCATAATTAGAGGCACTTGCACACTGCACTGCTGTTTTCACTTCTGCATTAGCAGTCGTCATTTCCTTAGATGTCTCCGTCAATCTACCAACCTTCTTGTGATTTTTACACCTCTCAGCTTTTGGAAATTTCCCCTTTATTATGCAATTAAGCACATATTTTTAGCTAGAATTTAGTTAATCTAGAGTAGTGAATGTAAAAATACTGATCTCATAGTGTTTGTATTAGAGGGATGAATTTTGTCCTGAGAACACATTTTTCTTTAAGATGTGGATTTATTAAATGTGATACATTTTTGGCAAATCATTCTCCTCCCCTCAGTTCCTTAAGATATTAAGTGGGAGCCTCTGGCTAGATGTCACATTGGTGAACTTTACACTTATAACTAGTTCTCCTTTTACTTCTACAGATATTTGAGGCGGTTATTTTCAAATGCCATATGTGAATATGCTAAATTGTAAGCCCTAATGTACAACTCAGAGTGTTTACTGCGATGGAGAGACGATGGAGATTTTTAGGTAATTAAGTGAGTTTTTTTAATCATCTTATTTGACTGAAAGTGTTCTTTATGGTAATGTGATTACAACAACTTGATGCGTATCATGAATGGCAAAATCTTTCTAAAATTCATAACATTTATATGACCTATTACTATGTACAGTATGTAGTATATTGTGGATGCTTTTTGGAATGCCTCATTGTTAACAAGTAATTAGAGGATTTGTCTATAGCTGTCACTGTGAGCCTTTCAGCATAAACTTTTTAAATGAAATCTCAGATCTTCTGACGTACAGTCACCATGTAGTTTTGCAATCAGCATTATTACTGTTGCAGTTGTTGTGAAATGTACTATGTGTAACATGGACGTTGTGAAAAGTGTTACTGGGGATTTATTTTAGGAAACCATTTTTTAAATAAATTCATTATCAAAGCAACTACTAGATCCTAATAATACAGTTAAAGCAAAATGAAAGATGAGTAAAAATTCAAAGGATTAGTTTACCTAAAAATAAAAATATGCTATTTACTCACCCTCATGTTTTTCCATGCCCATGTTGTTGTTTTTCTATTATATTTCTATCTTTAGAATTATATGCAGCTCTTTTCATAAATAACATAATGGCCATGTCTGTCACCTCCAAAAATGTCAAAATCACCATAAAAATAGCTAAATGAATTTTGCAGTACAGTATATTCCTGTTTTATTTTATTCAGAAAATTCTATAAATAGCACACAAATCATTTTATTTATTTATTTTTTATTTATTTAGTCATTTATTAGACGCTTTTATCCAAAGCGACTTACAAATGAGGACAACAGAAGCAATCAGTTGTAGTATTAAAACAACTAAAAACAGATCCAAAACTAAAAGCTAAAACTTTATAAATACTACCTATACACATTTTAAAAATAAAGAGATTAAATAAAAATGACAAATGCATACAACAAAATTTCAAAACTTAACATTTAAAAGAAAGACAAAAAAAATTAAGCTAAAAAGAATTCAAAATATTAAAGAACAAAAGGTATAAGTGTATAATAATGATTCTAACATAACACTAAGCCAAACACCAAAAAAACAACTACATAAGTGTATGTACAACCACACACACATACATATATACTGTATATGTACATACACATTTATAAATTCAATATATATATTATTTCATTTCCATTTAGTTTGTTGGAGTATTAAAATAACTCAAATTAAATAAAACTAAAACTTAATAAAAGGCCTATACAGACATAATAAATTCAGACATAATGTAAATAAAATTAAAATAAATAACAAATACAAACAATACAAATCAAACGACAGTAGTTTATCAGTAATCCTAAAAAATAACACTGCCAAACACACATGCTAAAAAACAACAACTTACTTACACATAGTAAGAAATGGTTATAAAAACTGAAACGGAAGCGAAACAAGTAGTAGGAAAGAGGAGAATCATATATAGGTAGACTACTTTTTTGTACTTTTTGGTCCTTTTTGGAGCTTGTTTTATGGAAAATATCAGAAAATTCTTCTTCAAAAGAAAAAAGGTATATGAGTTTTTTCTCACCTATGAGGGTAAATAATGACAGAATTAAAATTTTTGGCCAAACTAACCCTTTAACAGCTGTTTTTTGGAAGTGATTTGAAATGCACAAAAGCCAGATGGTGAAAAGGTGAACATAGAGTGAAGGAGAGAAATAGAGAAGTACATAAAATAGTACACACAAGCACATGCAGATACAGTCACCATACTAAAGAACCAATTAGGAGGAAAAGCGAAGGGGGAGAAATGGCAGAAGCCCTTCTGTTTCTGCTTCACTGAATTATTGAGTGTAATCATCCAGGCCTTTAATGGCTGGTCCAAAGTGGAATTAATTTGGGTGGTGTGGGATAAATAATGCATTATGGGTAAGGGTGGATCTGAGCAAGAGGTCTCTCTCCTCCAGCTGCCTCTGCATGATGACGGTGGGAGGGGCCCGGGAAGCGTGCCGCTCAGTGCAGTGGGGTAGCGGGACATGAAAGGGGGAGAGAGAGAGTGAGGAAGGGAGGGAGGTAGACAGATGCTGTCCAGAGCAGGCGGAAGAGGTGCAACAGGGCGAGGCTCAGGAGGAGAGTAGAGTGCGGATCCCAACATGTGGATGGAGGACAGTGTTGCTCAGCTATGAACACCATGCTAAGTCCCAAGCTTAGACAGTCCAGGAGAGGTAAGACCTTTAATTCTCACTGCTGTTTCTCAGCATCAGTGACCTGCATTCCCATCCGTAGCAACACCCTCTTCTGGCTGCATTAGCTGCACTCAGTACCGGCTCCTGCTCCGCTAGTCCGCTGATCTCACAGCTCAGTGATGGGCTGTTGAGGACTATATATCTCCATGGCAGTGATCCAATAGACTGGGTGGTTGCTTAGTAACATCTTTCAGCTTGATTATGAGTGTAAGTGGTCTTTGGCTTTGTGTCACACTCCTTAACCAGGAAGTCATGATTTGGATCCTGACACATGCTGATGATGCCTGATGTTTCATAGTGGGATTTTTTTTTATACAATCTTAAAAATAAAGATGGTGTTTGCAGCAATGCCATAAGAACGATTTTTGGGTTCCCCAAATAAGAGTTCTTAAAGATCCATTTTTTCTTAGTGTGAAGAATATTTTAATAATAAGAATGTTTTTTCACTATAAAGAACCTTTTGTGGAACGGAAAGGTTCCATGATGTTAAAGGTTCTTCTTAGAACCATCATTGCCAATAAAGAACCATTATTTTCAAGAGTGTACAGTACATGATGGAGATAAGTCAAGAATAATTGTAATCATTATAATCCAATGCCGTTTTTCTGCACATGAACGTACATTCTATTCTTGGTCTATAATGAATTGTAGTTTCAACACTTAGAATCAAGGGTGTAATAAATCATAACAACTGAATGTCAAACAGTTTCACCTACATGAGTAAAAGCTTGCTGGCAATCATGGCTTACATGTCATATAATGTTAATTAAATGTATACATCTACGTACATATCTTATAACTTTATTGATCAGATAATACTGTACAATAAGTTTTAACTAGTTAAAGCGTCAGTTCACCCAAAAATGAAAATTAGGCTGCGTTTTACTCACCCCAAAAGAAGTTAAATAAAAAGTGCCCATCCATAAAAATAAAATGTCTCACACGGCTCCGGGGGGTGAACAAAGGCATTCTGGAATGAATCGATGCGTTTTTGTAAGAATAATATCCATATTCAAAACATAATAATCACTTGAATCTAGCTTGCGCTCACTGTTGTAAACAGAAGCAGTTCTGGGGGAATGATGTATGAGGTCGCCGCTCAGAAGTGACGCACACAGAAACACAGGGGAGAGATCAAAACAAAACAACGGTCAATAATTAGAAGTACAAAACGAGAATTTCTTTTGGACTGAAGCAATGCAACACCCGCTGACTGCAATGATAGAGCTTGAAAGATCAAAGACGATTTTTTATATAACTCCGACTGGATTCGTCTGAAAGAAGAAAGTCATATACACCTAGGATGCCTCGGGGGTGAGTAAAACGCAGCCTAATTTTCATTTTTGGGTGAACTAACCCTTTAACTTTAGTTAATGCTTTAAGTATGATGAAGTAAAAAAATTAACTAAAGTTAATGCTTAAAGTTAAAACTAAAGAACTATACAATTTTTAGATTCTGAACAGTTTTTAACACAATATGCATCACACACTTGCTGACATTGTAAATGGTTACAAAAAAATAATAATAATAATTTTACAGCATTTATCAATATTAATGTTAATTTCCAATAAAGTCAATGTTAATTTCCACATATATTAATGCATTTTTAACAGCTGTATAAATCACCACAGTATTGTGAATGGACAATAGTATATTTAAACAACAGTATATTTGTAAATTAATATGAACTTACATTAATAAATGATATACTAATAAATATACTTCATTGTTAGTTTATGATACCTAATGCATTAACTAATGGTAATGGATTGAACCTTATTGTACAATGTTACCATCAATCAATTCCACGTACAAAACAGGTGCAATATCATTTTTAAAGTTGAATTGATAATAATTGCATGTTGTTTTTTCCTGATTATTTCTCCTGCAAAATGCTATTTGTGAATTGATTTCTGCCCTGCTGTGCAACATAAAGCAAACAGGAGCATTTGAAGCACACTGTCTGCTGGGCTCTGCATTTATCATCTTGCATATGGATTGTGTCACTTTTGGTGAGGGTATTGGGTTTGCTGTGTTTTAAGCTGCTACAGCACATATTCCAGCACAGCAGGCTCAAAGACACTGCCAGGTTTCATTTGCAGTGATATTTCACTCTGAGTGTCAGAATATTAGGTGGACTGGCAATTGCCTTTTCAGTTTTGTGCTGTACTTATGTGTAAATTGTTATCAGGAAGTATGACAGATAGCATAATTTTTTATATATTTAAATCTGTCTAATTTGATTTATTTACATGTTCCTTTACTGTTACATTACATGTTAACATCAGATGTTTTTAGACATATTACCAGTGGAAAAATGAAGTCATTATGGATCTATTTATTCACTTGCATTTTGCATTATTTTTAAGTTTACTGTAATCTGCAAGATGGTTATAATAGAGCTGGATTCAAGCCCTTAGTGGAACTAAGAAATAATCCAAACCAACTAGGAGCTACACAAGATTCATTATTATTCTGTTCCTCATGCCATACTCAAGGTGTCCTCATAAAACATGTCTTGTACGAAACTCTTTATTACGGGACTATTGTAAGCAGGATGATCATTTCAGGCAGAGATTAATTGTTCATATTAATTCTTGATGATTTTTAACAAGTCTTCATATTCAGTACCAGTGCCCTGAAAGAATATTTAAGGAGCAGACACATAAAAAAGGCTCTTTTGTCATTTCAAAAATGAGTCTAAATGAAATATGCATGGGCCTGGTCAGACTTCCAGTATTTTTAGACTGAACATGTCACATAAGCAGAAAATCAGACAAATGGAGGAAAATTCTGACGCCGAATGCTCTGCCCGGTCGGCAACCTGCTTGTTATTGAGAGTTGGCTGCTATAGGTTTGTGGGTAATAAGGAGAAACACCATTCTGTGTGCCCCTGGAGACTGCTGTTCAAAGAGCTAGATCATTTTAGGGGCTTTTCTCCCACCCTCTTCCCTCCCATTTGTGCTCTATCACTCTTTAGCTCTCCATGAGGCTGTGAGGTGTGCATTAACTCTGATGAGGCTTCCATTACTTACAGTCATTTAATCAGAGTGGCAGCGGTTGCAGCCCTTCAGGCTGAGGAGCGGTCGGTTCTTTGCTGTTATGCAGTACCTTTTTAACTCTGTAACATAGAAAGAATATACTTGTGTTGTAATTTAAGGAAGTATAATTATATATTTATAATTATAATTTTACTGTATAATATACAGTAATTTTATATATATTTTGAAATACTTGTTTTATATTTGTAACAATTTTTTATTTTTTAATAATATATGTAATTTTATAAAATTACATGACACAAACCAAATAATACCAAAAAAAAAAATATGAAACTAATTGTTAATACTAATGTTTGTGTTGATGTTTGTCCACCAAAAATGACATCACATCCTGGAGGATGATGTCACTGAGGAACTGGCTTGTGTTCGTTACAGTTATGTTAAAAAATCTAACAGGATGGAAACTGATATTGGAAATTTGATTATCATATTATATAAAAATATTATAATATTTCCAATAAATAAATAAAAACATTCAGCAATTTAAAAAAAACACATTTCAGCTGAAAAAAGGACAAAATAATATTGATTTTTTTTTCTTAATATATTATTCTATAGTATATATTAGCATATAAATAAAATATAATTGCAATTATTATTATTAGCATTAAAATTACATTAAATTGGCATTATAATTAAAGTAATAAAATAATTTAAAATTCATAATATGTTCACTTAATTGTGAAAATGTAATCAAATGAAAACAAATTAATTTTTTTAAAGTTTATTTATTTTTTTATTTTAAATATATAATTTTTATATTTTTAAGACATATTCTCAGCACATGAAAAACAGCATAGTGGGAATGTCCCAGCAACTGTAGGCCACTCGGATAAAGGCTAAAAAAAATCCAGAGTGATCCTAAACACAGCTGTATGAAGACAGCTAGGGAGTGCACTCTCATAGTTTCTGCTATCTTGCTGCTCTCAGCACACAGGAAAACAAGGATTGATTTTTTTCCCTTCCGGCCCACGAGCATAAAGCAGCTGCTTGTGACACTGGGCATGCCTCTCAAATACAGCTGCCCAATCTCATCTGCTTTTCTGTGGTTTGTGGTTGTCTCTGGTCAACACAAGGGGAATTTAAATTCATGAATAAATAAGTCCAAAAAAATGGGCTTTTGCATCACTGAGAAGCCTGTCATAAGGCATGCATGATACATCTTGTTTTCAGCGGTGGTGGGCAAATTGCTTGCATTGCCAAATGCATCTATGCGTTTTTATGTGCGTTCTGTGTATATACTTGTCCAGACTAGTGGAGGCTAATTCACTTGGTTTAGATGAGCAGAATGGGAATCTACTGTAAATGTGACATGAAATCTAACCTAACATGTTTGAATGTATGTGTATGTGTTTGTGTTTACTTTCTCAGCTAGGTCTAAGAGCATGGTCATGGGGGAGCTCTCCCGCAGGCCATCATCCCCCAGCCTCCAAGGCAGGACGTTAAAAGCGGGCTGGCTTAAGAAACAGCGCAGCATCATGAAGAACTGGCAGCTGCGCTGGTTCGTGCTTCGAACTGACCAGCTCTACTTCTACAAAGATGAGGAGGAAACCAAACCACAGGTACAGTGGGAAGAGGACAGAACAACCAGAACAAGAATAAAAATAAAGACAGATTATTTATTATTATATCATTTATCTGGAATATAACATTGTCTTTCAACAACATTAATCAAAATAAAATCTGACCCTGTTGTGTCTAAACAATGTGACAGTTAATGTTGCAAAAAGAGGTTTAAAAAATAAGAGACCTTGATCTTTTATTTCATATCTGATCAATAACTCTACCTCTAAAAAATCAATATGTTATCTATCTTACTGATTTAAGCATCGATTGTGAGATAACAAATGACTTCACTGTTTTCAAGTTCAACCCCTCAACCCACAATACACACCATCTACAGGTTATTGGGCTCGACCTGAATCAGTGAGAGAGACAAAACTGCATTCATTCAGGCAGTTATGAATTTCATTGCATTAGATATCTGAAGTTTTGGGCCACTATATGTTCATTTATAAACATGCACACTACCATTCAACAACCATTACTATAACAACTACTTTTTTAAAGAAATTAGTACTTTTATTAATCAAGGATGCATTAAACTGATAAAAAGTGACAGTAAACTCATTTATAATGTCACAAAAGGTTTCTATTTTAAATAAATGCTGTTCTTTTGAACTTTCTATTCATCAAAGAATCCTGAAAATTTTTTATTACAGTTTCCAGAAAAACATTAAGCAGCAAAAGCATTATCAGCATTTTGTGAGCAACAAATCAGCATATTAGAATGATTTCTCATAGGGTTAATGTGACACTGAAGAGTGTATTAATGGAATATATTAATGGAACAAATGGAATAAATTAACAGGAATAAATTATATTTGAAATTATAATAAAACAGAAAACAATTATTTTATATTGTTCAAAATATTTCCTAATTATTACTGTATTTTTGATCCAATAAATTCAGCCTTGGTGAGCATAAGAGACTTATTAATTTAAAAAGCCTTTTAACAGTGTACATAAACACATACATGATAAATATTAGAAAAATAAAAATCATAAAAAATTAAGTTAAAAATAAATTGACTCTTAACTTTTATAAAGAATATCTCTTTGGATTTGAGACTTTAGTCTTTGCAACTTTACAGATCTTCTTTATGCACCAAGAGCTTGTAACACTTCAAAAAGAAAGGAAAAATTGAAATCGCATCATATGACCCCTTTAATGCTGGGGCAGCGAAGAATGGAGGATTAGCTAAAGGAGGCTGGTACATAATTTATGATTTGACTGTGGTTGGGTCTAATTATGCATGACTCAGCATTGCTGATTACAGCGTAAAATTGGGCCATGCACACAATAGAGAATTATAATCCCACACTGCCTAATCTGCCTTGAAGGTAAACCCCTGTAGGTGCTTATTAGCACCACAAATCAATTATCAAATTACAATAGCCTAATGAAACACACTCCAGTTATCCCTGAAGAGAAAGTGTTCATCTGTTTAATGCTTTAATAGATAAAGCATCTTAAAATGGTGTAAAACACTAAAAAAAGTGCTTTTCAAACCTATTCACTGTTTAAAGCAATCTTTTCTTTCTTTTTCCCTCCAGGGATGTATCCCGTTGCAGGGTAGTCAAGTCAACGAGCTGACAGCCAATCCTGATGAACCTGGGCGGCATCTTTTTGAAATAGTTCCAGGTAGGAGATAATTAAATTTACCTGAATCTTCTGTGGTCTGATTTAATTACGCGTTTAATGGTTTGTGCCATCAGGGCATAATCTGTGCATGTTATATTTTATACTTACTTATACTTTTTGTCCTACTTGTCACTCAAGGAGGCATACAATGGCAAAGCAAGAAAACAAATAAGGCACTGTGTTTGCAGGCTCTGAGTGGGACTTGCATATTGTTACTGATGAAATACAGCTTCATCATTACCAGAGTTAATCAGGGCATTAGGTGTCCTCTTAGCAGGGCCGGATTTATGCATAGGCATTGTAGGCACGTGCCTATGCTTTCTCGTCAAGGGGGGGTCCAAACTCAATGAAGAGATATATAATATTTTTGTTATACTATGGGATATCTACAACAGTAAAAGAACCAAAACCCCAGAAGACATCGAGCAAATAAATATAACAAACAATGGGGTAAAAATGACAAACTATTTCCATGTCTTTAACCATTTTTATGTACAGAAATCACGCTTTCTTTCTCCCGTTCTCTACACGCACACACATAGACACGCACTCGCGCACACACACGGAGACGCGGACAGAAACTTGTCATCCGTGAATTTATCAATAAGAGTTTCGCAGCTGAAAAGCTACATGACATTTCTCAGTAGCGAGGTTCTTGAAGCAGTTCAACTTAAAGATTCGCTATTAGATGCTGCTGCTGAATACTGCTGAGAGACGCACAGACGCAAGTATTCACACGCACTTAATCTCTCTCTCCCTCTCTCTCTCTTGCTCTCTCTCTCTCTAATAACTGCGTTAGACTGCATTAATAACTG